AAGTGCCCGTCACCATGCCTGGCTAATTTTTGCATTTTTAGTAGAAACAGGTCTCGCCATGTTGGCCAGGCTTGTCTCAAACTCCTGACCTCAGGTGATCCACCCGCCTTGGTCTCCCAAACTGCTGGGATTACAGGCATGAGCCACTGCACCCAACCGAGACCTTGTCTCTTAAAAAACTTTTTTAGGCCAGGCGAGGTGGCGAGCGCTTGTAGTCCCAGCTACTCAGGAGGCTGAGGCAGGAGAATGGCGTAAACCCGGGAGGCGGAGCTTGCCGTGAGCTGAGATCTGGCCACTGCAGTCCAGCCTGGGCAACAAAGCGAGAATCCGTCTCAAAAAAAAAAAAAACTTTTTTAGGCCGGGTGTGGTGGCTCACGCCTGTAATCCCTTTGGGAGGCTGAAGCAGGCAGATTATGAGGTCAAGAGATCGAGACCATCCTGGCCAACATGGTGAAACCCCATCTCCACTAAAAATACAAAAATTAGCCAGGCGTGGTGGCAGGCGCCTGTAATCCCAGCTACTCGGGAGGCCGAGGCAGGAGAATCGCTTGAACCCGGGAGGCGGAGGTTGCAGTGAGCTGAGATTGCACCACTGCTCTCCAGTCTGGGCAACAGAGCAAGACTTTGTCTCAAAAAAAAACAAAAAAAAAAAACAAACAAAAAAATTTTAACCTAAATGATAATTAAAATGCCAAGTGTCAAAATTTGTGAAGAGCAGATAAACTTGTACTTAGAAATTTATATCTTTGAATGTTGACATTAGAAGGAAAAAATGGTTAAAAAACAGTGATCTAAGTTTCCACCTAACAATATGAGCAAACTAAATCCACAATAAGTAGAAAGAGGAAATAACAAAGAACAGAAAACAATGAAATAGAAACAAACATTAAAGAAAATTACCAAAGCCAACATGACAAGTTTATCCCAAAACTGCAATGTTGATTTCCTACTGGAAAAAGCAATGTCATCTACCACAGAACAGTCCATAAAGGGAGAAACTGTATGATTATCTCAATAATTATCAAAAAAAACCAAAAAGCATGTGACAAAATTTGTCCCCATTCAGGATAAAAACCCTCAGGAAACCAGAAACCACAGGGAGCTTTCTCAGTCTGATAAAGGGAACTATAAAAAAAATGTAAACTTAACATCATACTTAATGGTCAAGGACTGGTCCTAAGATCAGAAACAAACAGCAAGGAGGTGTGCTATCTCACTTTTGCCTGGAACTGGATGTCCTCACCACAGCAATAAGGGGGAAAAAATACATAAATGATACAAAACTACAACAACAAAAATGGTTCCTATTTGTAGTTAATACATTGCTAACATCAAAAATTGTAAGGGAAGAAACCCTACTAAAATAAATAAGTTTAGCTAGGTCTCAGAAGACAAAGTTAATATACAAAAATTATTTTTACATACCAGCAGTGTATTTTTACATACTAGCAGCAAACAATTGGAAAACTTTAACCATAATTCCACTAACAATGGCATCAAAAAATAAAAGACTCAGGAAAATATTTAACAAAAAACATGCAAGATCCGGTTGGGCATGGCGGCTCATGCCTGTAATCCTGGCACTTTGGGAGGTCGGGGCAGGAGGATCGTCTGAGGCCAGGAGTTCGAGACCCGCCTGGACTCTGTCTCTACAAAAAATAAAAAATTAGCCAGGTGTGGTGGCACATACCTGTAGTCCCAGCTACTTGGGAGATTAAGGCAGAAGGATCATTTGAGCCCAGGAGTTCAAGCCTGCTGTGAACTATGATTCTGCCACTGCACTCCAGCCTGAGTGACAGAGCAAGACACTCTCAAAACAAAAACAAAAAAAGAGAAAAGAAAACGGAAGAAAAAATGCAAGATCTATACATTGCTGAGAGAAATCATGCATCACCTCAATAAATGGAGAAATATACATTATGTTCATGGATTGAAAGACTTGATACCATTCAATGTCAATTATCTCCAAATGATCTATAGAGTAAATGCAATCCGAATCATAAACCCATCAGGTTTTTTTGAAGAAACTGAGAAGCTGACTCGAAAATTTATATGGATCTGTCTTTGAGCCTACCCCTGCTAAAAAATAAATAAATTTATATGGAAATATAAAAGCCTTAAAATAGCCAAAATCATTTTGAAAAGGAAGAACAAAGCAGGAAGGCTTATAATACTGTCGGATTTAAATATTTATTACTGAGGTACATAAGGCAACTGAATACCCACATGGGGCAAAAAGAAAAAAAAGGGATCTTGATCCCCTACGTCACATCATATATAAAAATTAATTTGAGATGAATCATAATCCTAAAAGTGAAAGCTTCTAGAACACAGGAGAATATTTTTATGACCTGGGGTATTTAATGATTTCTTAGAAAGGACATCTGTTGGTGAGGATATGCAGCAACCATAACTAATATTTTGTTGATGGGGGTGTAAAATGGTAGAGTATTTTGGAGAAAGGGTTAGTATCTTTTATAAACATTCACCTACCCTTTGACTCAGTAATTTCACCCCTAGGTATTTATCCAAGAACAATGAAAACATATATCCACAAAAATTACGTACAAGAATATTGACAGCAGCTTTATTTATAATAGCTAAACCTGGAAGCAACCAAAATACCCATCTTTGCGCAAGATAACAGAAAAACAAATTGTGATATAGGTATTCAGTGGAATACTCAGCAATTCAAAGGAATAAATTACTATCACATACGACACAAATCTCACAGACATAATGCTGAGCAGATGCCAAATACAGACGAGTACATACCATATAATTCCATTCATATACACGAAGCTCTAGAATTGGCCAAACTCATCTAGTATTTAAAAAAAGTTAGAAAACGAGTTGCCTGCGGTGGACAGGTGACTGGCACAGGCCAGGACGGAACGTTCTGGAGATGTGGGATGTTCTGTGTGGTGATGGCTTGTATGCTTTATGTGAATGTGCATGGATCCATTTGAGGCATTTCAATATATGTAAATTTTACCCAAAAACTTTTCAAAAGAACAGTAACTCAAGTAGGGGGTTGGGGAATGGCTGAAAGTATATGAAACAAGAATGGCAGAACCTTCAAGCTCGGTGTTAAAGCTAGGTGATGGGTCCATGGGAGTTCATTACATTATTCTGATGTGGTTTGTACTGGCATAATAAAAGGTAAAAACAAAACTTACAAGTTTTAGTTGAGAACAAGTTAAAAAGTAAACTGTTTTGGAGCTCTCTACCACCACCAAAAACAAAAAAGTTACTGTAATTCCCAGAAGCATTGAACAGAGGTGTAGTCATTAGCATAACTACAGTGAACACCGTAGTTCCTGCCTATACTCTTGTGTCCACGTTAAAGCAAGGAGAATGGTGAGGACGACAGGGTACTTACATACTCTATGAGGAACCAGGGAAACGTATTAGGGACCAGGACTCTTTCTCTTATTTTAATCCAAATTAAAAGAGAGAAGTGCAGGGTTCTGTGGGAAATTTTTTTTAAAGAATTGAGCCAAAATGCAGTGTCATGATAAAAGCTGCAAAAAAGCTATAAACTCCGAAGTTAATATTTTGGCTCACTTGGATATGAAGAGTATGCATGTAACATTTTGGGAAATTACCATAAAAATGAGTGTCTTTAGATTTCTGGACTGAACTGAACGTGTGTGTATCAGCATGCAGCCCTGCCCCCAGGTACTCTACCTCCTTTTCTCAAGGAATATGGATTATCGTGGACCCACCTCTGACCTAAATACTGTGAAGGAATCAAAGTATGAAACACAAACCTCATCCCACGGAACCTTACAATTTAACTGCAAAGGCAAGATACGCCTAAAAAAATAAGCCATTACCACATAGCAGTACTTGGTTAAATGCCAGGAGGGAGTACAGATACGATGTACTTTTTAATGAAAAGAATATTCCGCTGTGGGGGTTTCGGCAGGCTGCCTTGAGGTTGGGGAACTTGAAATGAGACAAAGTATTTAAGCAGGGAGGAAAACGGGACGGGAGGCCGGCCGGCACTTCCAGAGCAGAGGAACCGGGTAAAGCAAACAAAGTGACGACACAACGTGAAAAGAAACCTGAAGTTTGTCTCCAGTGAGCCCCCAACATCCCTCCAACGCCTCTGTCTGGCTCTCCGTTCAATGTCTTCCCGAAACTTCAGGTCAGCGGTTCCTAAAGTGGTCCCCGGACAAGCATACATCACCAACCAGCTGGGAACGTACACTGTCAACTCTGGGGACTCATCCCAGACCCACTGAGTCACTAAGTGGGGGACTGGGGGCGGCAATCTGTGTTGGACCGTGTGCGTCGGGTGACTGCGATGCACGCTCAAGTTTGAAAAGCACTCCTCCAGGGCTACTGCTAAGCACAACCCTCCGCACAGAAGTGATACTGTTCTGAGCGCCTACCAGCCAACTTGCAGGGTGTAGGGAGCTGAGAGCGGGTCCCCGGCCTGTAAGAGTTCAGGCTCTGCCCCGATTTCGCTTTCTCATCCAGGACACCTTCTCCCAGTCACTACCTCCTACGCCTGCTCCTTCTGGACGACTTTACCCTGACAGGGCCCGCTCCCGCCCCTGTCGCCCTACCTCAGTGTCAGAGGGGACGTGGTGCCGGCAGGGAGGGGAACTGCCCAAGGAGACGGGAGTAGATGTGGCGCTGGCCCGGAGCCCGCCCAACAGGAGTAAAACGCTTCGGACCCACATAGACCCGCTCCAGCGCCACCGGCTCCGGCCCGGGCCTGAGCCTGAGTAACCCGCTCCTCCTCCCCACTCGGCCGCCATCTTCGGGCCGAGCGTCGTTACCATGGAGCGCGTGACGCCTCTGCGCCCGCGCCGGCCCCGCCCCTCGCCGCTCGGGGCAGACGGAGGCCCCCCCGCCGGCGGAAAGGTGCTCTCCGATTGGACAGCGTCACCCGCTGGAAGTTCGCGGCAGAAGATGAGGGCGGCGATCGCGTCCATCGCGTCTGGTTGCGCGAAGCCGGCCAATAAATGCTGTTTGGAGGCCCACGTGAGTGGGGCTGTGGGAGGAAGAAGGGCGCGCGGGCGTTGGCCGTGTGTGGGTGTCTGAGGCAGTTTTCCAGTTCTTTCATTTACCAAAGTGATATGCACCTACTAGGTGCCAGGTGTTTAGACGGACATTCAACCCTCTGCAAAATCTTTGAGTGTAGTCCTCTGTAGGAAAAGGTGAGTGGAATACTTTCATTTACTTATCCTGAGTCACCAACTTTAGGCGCTTTACTTGACTAAGGCCATTTCCTGTAAAAATCAATGATACACCCTTTACTATTTTACTCAACTCCATCTTTTAGTTTCCAACCAAGAATTGCCACTGCACCTGAGATAAGGGAGATCCTGGGAGCCGTGAGGAACCTATACAAAATGGGAAATTGGAACAAATTCCAGTGGCTCATGACACTAAGAAGTAAAACTACGAACTCAGACACTGAGCTGGAAGTCATGCAACGGGAAGTGAATAGGTAAACTACTGTACTGGGAAATGAAGGGGTAGGAAAGAAGGAAAACTTCAAGTTACAGACTGGGTGGAGATTACGGACTCAGATACGAGGATGGGGTGGTGTCTTAAGTATTACCATTTTACAAGTGAACAGTCACTAAATAATGTGTGTATCATCCCACAACTAGTGGAAGGTGGGATTCCAAACCACATTTGTAACTTAGGAAACGTGCCCTTTCCACTACAGTACCACAAATAAACTGCTGTTGTGAATAGAGTGGAACCAGTCATCCTAAGCTCCTGGCTGTTACAATAGTGTTACGCTGAGGAAAGGCTGTTTCTTTTTTTTTATTTTTGAGACCGAGTTTCACTCGTCGCCCAGGCTGGAGTGCAGGGGCGCAATCTCGGCTCACTGCAACCTCTGCCTCCGCCTCCCGAGTAGCCGGGATTACAGGTGCCCGCCACCACTCCGGACTTTTTGTGTTTTTAGTAGAGACGTAGTTTCTCCATGTTGGTCAGGCTGGTCTCAACCTCATGACCTCAGGTGATCCGCCCGCCTCCGCCTCCCAAAGTGTTTGGGATTACAGCCATGAGCCAAAGCTGTTTCAATGGCATAGTGAACAAAATACCAGCCACGCAAGCCCTTTCCTGTAAACCACGGGACTTTGGCAACGGTGACTTAAGTACTTTTGACTTAATTTCGGTATGGGAGCAGAAAAAATTATAAATTTATTATTTACAAATGCTGCATCATCTCGGTAAGGAAGAGCATGTATTTTTGCTCGAGTCTCATTTGCCATTGCACATGTAAGTTACTCGAGTTACCCTAAAGTCTCAACCTTTTGTTTTCCCCGCTTTGCTCAGATGCCTACCACTTACTGTGTAAGCACCTCCATTCCTCTCATCTATTCTACCCAGAATACCATTCACTTCTCCATATGCCTAACCCAGACCTGAAATACCCATCGGTCTTCATGGATATGTCGATTAACATCTTACCGCTTCCTCAAATTCAACTTTTGCTCCTCCCACAAAACCATCCCCTGGTTCCCCAACTTTGTAAATGCACCATTACCCATCCAGCCCCCATAGCCAGAAACATGTTAGAATGTTAGCCATTAGAGACTGAAAAGCCCACCTGATTTTCCCTTGTTTATACTGGGCTGCCACTGGGACGTAAAATATTAATCTGAGCTGGACATGGTGGCTTACATCTGTAATCCCAGTACTTCAGGAGAACAAGGCAGGGGGATCACTTGAGGCCAGGAATTAAGAGACCAGCCTGGGACCCCGAAAAAAAAATTTAATTAACTGGACGTGGGTGGCATGCACATGTAGTCCCAGATTCTCTGGAGGTTGTGGGCAGAGGATTGCCTGAGCCCAGAAGTTCAAGGGTGCAGTGAACTATGATCACACCACTGCACTGCAGGCTGGGCAACAGAAACCCTGCCTCAAATGAGTAAATTTTAAAATTTCCTGTGAATCAAGTTCTTCAGTGACATTGTTACTACACACAAGAACAATCTTAAGATCCTCAGTACAAGAGACGTCTTATGTGGCATTTCTGAGTTTTCTGGACTTTCCAGTCAGCTACTTGTATTCCTAAAATCTTTCTGCCATTTCCTCTGAGATGCCTCCGTATTTCTTCTACACTTTATAGTTTTATGTTATGTAGTCAGGATACCCACATGCCTCTATCCCTGAATACCCCAAGAGTACTGATCACATCTATTTAACTGGCACAATGAACACACTAGGTACTTTTAGCTTATATTGGCCTTTTGGAGTGGGTGTCCCAGATCAGCACTTCCTCCCGCTGACTGCGTAATTCCCAAGTTCAATTTCATCAGCATTCTAATATACAACTTCCAACTTTTGACCATGAAAAAGTATGGCTTACTTCTGGTGAATATAGCATCAATGCACTTTGTTTGCCTTAAAACCACAATCCTAATAAATGAGCCTGGCAAAGCATTAATAAAAGCCCCTGTCCATGAAACACGGGACTCCAACAATGGCAACTTTGGCCTACGTTCCACCATTGGACTGACCGAACCTTTCTCATGACTGCCGATGTGACAGAGGGACCTCTGGGAGAGGACTTCTTGTTTTCTCTTGGGTCAGTATATCTCATTACCCTCTTAGTAGGTTAGCAGATTTGTAACAGGATGGTTACTAGAGGAAGGGGAAGCGGAAAAGTTGGGACAGTATTCCTACTCTTTTCCCTTACTACAAACATTTTCCTTCTCAGTCCTACCTCCAGGAGATGAAAGACCAAGTAACACAACAGCCAATGTGCTCTTCCCACCCAGTCCTTTCTTTCACCCTCTTTCCCTAATACATTTCCAGCATGTTAATTCTTTTGCAGCATAGACAAGAGAACCCATACATGTTTCAAAACTGCAAAAGGGATTAGGGGGCAAACTCCCAGTTTCTTGTTGACATTTTCAGTGCAATTTAAAGATCTGTTAATTTAAAAAACTACCTGTGCTTTAGACATCAATAACCCTCGTTGGGGGGGGGGGGGGCGGGGGAAGGACTGTTACTGCATCAGTTAGAAATCTACAACCTGGGCAACATAGTGAGGCCCATCTCCACAAATAACTAAAGTTAACTGGGTGTGGATGCACATGCCTGTGGCCCCAGCTATTCAGGAGGCTGAGGCAGGTTTGCCCGAGCCCAGGAGGTGGAGGTTGCAGTAAGCTGTAATCATGCCACTGCAGTCCAGCCCGACCAACAAAACAAGATCTCAAAAAAAAAAAAAAAAAAAAAAAAAAAAAAACCATACTGCAAAACTGATGCCTTAGCTGTTTTATTTTAGCATATTCCCAAGAAATCTAAAATATTTGGGAGAGCTGCTTATTTCCTTAAAGTGCAATCTTGCACTATACCAGATTAAAACATGAAGCCAAAGAAAGCCGCCACCTTTCCGTGCACTATTCCCAACCTCCATCTACCTACCATAGGACTGCTTTTTATGAGTGGAATATGGCTCAATTCTGTTTTAATATACTGGAATGCTTTGTCTAGTCACAGTCCCCAAGAGCTTCTCATCCCAGTCTATCCAAATGAACTGCCAAAGCCCATCAATATAATCTCCATTCATATTTTAAGTTTCCCAATCTGTACTGAACAAATGCATAGTATTACAAAGCATTTGGCAGGGTGTGGTGGCTCACACCTCTAATCCCAGCACTTCAGGAGGCCAAGGAGGGAGGACCCCTTGAGCCCAGGAGTTTGAAGCCAGCATGGGCAAGAGTCAGACCCCCTCTACAAAAAATTTTAAAATGAGCCAGACATGGTGGCATGAACCTGCGGTCCCAGCTACTTCAAAGGCCAAGGGAGGATTGCTTGAGCCTCTGAATGTGAGGATGCAGTGAGCACCGCTACACTCCAGCATGGGCAACAGAGCAAGACTCTGTCAAAGATACTCGAATTAAAACCTGCTCCCTTCTAAATCTCTGACCTCGCCCTGTAATTTTCATCACGTCTCTGATCTCCTTGTACTCCAAAAATGCCGGGAAACCTCCATCATTTTAAGCATGTAGCAAATCAATTTAAGGTAGTAAGTTCTTTAATCCACTTAAGAAAAATACAAGAGCACAAATCCACGTTTATTTATTGATTTTTCATTAGTTTAAATCCTTGAGGGGTACAGCATCTGTGGGGAAAAAAGAACACAAAACATTAGGTGAATGTTACATATAAGTCTACAAATCAAGAAGCGTAATATGGATATATCTCTGAAAGGCATCCAATTATATGTTCTAGTAGAAAGGAAAGTTTTTATAGCCTTCAGTCTCTATGTGAACATACCTTAAGAACCAGCACTCTTAAAAAACATGTACTGGTTGGGTGCTGTTGCTCAAGCCTGTAATCCCATCACTCTGGGAGGCCCAGGCGGGCGGATCCCAAGGTCAAGAGATCGAGACCATCCTGGCCAACATGGTGAAACCCTGTCTCTACTAAAAAATACAAAAATTAGCTGGGCGTAGTGGTGCGTGCCTGTAGTCCCAGCTAGTCGGGAGGCTGAGGCAGGAGAATCGCTTCAACCTGGGAGCTTGCAGTGAAGCAAGATCCCGCCACTGTACTCCAGCCTAGCGAGAGTGAGACTCCCAGTCTCAGAAAAAAAGAAGAAAGAAAAACATGTACTGAAGATACATTTAATTTTGCTTCTTCTAAAGACAGAGGAAAAGCCTCCTCTGTTGATAAACCCCAATGAACCACTTAGCAGGGTTCAACAGCACCCCCTGGCCCCAAGAATACATGGTATGCATACATTCTTGGTCCCAAGAATATACAGTCTACATTCCAAAATGGACCCTGAAGAAAAAGTAGGAACTATTTGAGAAAAATTTAAACTCCAAGGCTGGCACCGAAGACCTGAGACCTAGGAACATGAGGGTCTGTTTTCTTCATGTACAAAACAAAGCTACTAACACCTGTTCTAACAAGACTGACATGATGGGAATGGCAAAATATTAACAATTATGCCGAGAGTAACTGCTGAATTGTCGCTTTCTAGCAATTACTTCAGTGCCCAATAAATATCTTCACCAGAAAACTATTTATTCAAGGCTGGCTGTGGTGGCTCAAGCATGTAATTCCAGCACTCTGGGAGGCCAAGATGGGCAGATCACTTGGGCTCAGGAGTTCAAGACCAGCCCGGGCAACATGGACAAACCCTATCATTGCAAAAAATACAAAAAATTATCTGGGCATGGTGGCATACGCCTGTAATTCCAGCTACTCAGGAGGCTGAGGCACGAGAATCACTTGAACTTGGAGGCAAAGGTCAGGAGCAAGATGAGATCATGCCACTGCACTCCAGCCTGCGTGACAAAGTGAGACCTTGTCTCAAAAACAACAGAACAAAAACCCCAAAAATTAGCTGGGTGTGGTGGCACATGCCTATGGTCCCAGCTACTTGGGGGGCTGTGGAAGGATTGCTTGAGCCCAGGAGGTCGAGGCTGCAGTGAGCTGTGATTATGCCACTGCACCCCAGCCTGGGTGACAACAACAAAAAACAAAACACCAAACACCTATTCTTTCAATTACTATTTCTCCCCAGCATTCTGCAATACACATTTTGCAGCATAATTTACTGGCGTCAATTTCACAACCACACAAGTCCTCAGAAGTCAAAGTGCAACACCTTGTCCTCAGTCTGATTCATCAGATGTCCGTTTTGCTAAAAACCATACTCACCACTCGGATTCTGTGTCCAATGGCCTTAGCAGGAAGATTGCTTCGGAATTTGGCACGAACCATGCCACTGTTTCCATGGGCCCGAGTTACCTTTCCCCAGATGACTCTGGTTTTATTTGGTTTGCCGCCTGGAGTCACTGTGTTGCTGATTTTAAAAAGGGAAAGAAGAGGAATACAGGCCAATATAGTTGGATACAAATTCAAGGTGATCTCTAGACGAGTGGCTCAACCCTGGTTACCCACTTCATCACCTGAGAAACTTTAAATGCCTGGAACACCATTCATTCAACAGATACTTATCGAGTACCTACTGTATGCCAGGCCCTTCTGTAAAACACAGCAGCTATAAAACAAAAATCCCTTTCAAAACCGATAACCAAGTGTAAGGAAATACATACGTCACATGATGAGAGGCAATACTGAAAAAACAGCAAAAGGACAGGTGTGAGGATGTTTGTATGTACAGAAAGGAGGAATTACCTGCCATTTTAAATAGCCAAGGAAGGTCTCACTGAGGTGACAATGGAACAAAGACTGGAAAGGAGGGGGAGAAGCGCCAGGAAGTGATCAGGGGATGACTAGCGCAGGCACTGGGGCCAAGCAAGGTGTCCTGACCGGAGGAAAGACTGAAGACACCAAGGGGTTAATCCCTGCTGAGATAAGAGAATTATGGAGCCCTTAATGACGGGCTTTTACTGAATGAGAGAAACCACTGAGGTTCCAGCAATGTACAAAGGATGCGACTTTATATATATTTCCTTTAAAGACCACAGGGTTGTCTTGTCACCCAGGCTGCAGTACAGTGGCCGAATCACAGCTCACTGCAGCCTCTACCTACTGGCATCAAGCAGTCCTCCCTCCTGGGCCTCTCAAATGCTGGGACTACAGGTGTGAGTCACTGAACCTGACTTAAAATTTATTCTTGACTGTAGAAGAAAAGGTGGGGCAATGATTAAAACCCTTTCCCAGAGATTTTAATTGGCTTGGAGTGGGTGAAGAAAATAGGATTTGCTCTTGTTGTCCAGGCTAAAGTGCAATGTCACGCTGGCTCACCCCTGTAATCCCAGCACTTTGGGAGGCCAAAGCGGCTGGATCACAAGGTCAGGAGTTCAAGAACAGTCTGGCCAAAATGGTGAAACCCTGTTTCTACTAAATATACAAAAATTAGCCGGGTGTGGTGGCTGGCACCTGTAATCCCAGCTACTCGGGAGGCTGAGGCAGGAGAATCGCGTGAACCTGGGAGGTGAAAGTTGTGGTGAGCCGATAAGCTGATATCGTGCCACTGCACCTGGGTGACACAGCGAGACTCCGTCTCAAAAAACAAAACAAACAGGCTGGGCGCAGTGGCTCAAGCCTGTAATCCCAGCACTTTGGGAGGCCGAGACGGGCGGATCATGAGGTCAGGAGATCGAGACCATCCTGGCTAACACAGTGAAACCCCATCTCTACTAAAAATACAAAAAACTAGCCAGGCGAGGTGGCGGGCGCCTGTAGTCCCAGCTACTCGGGAGGCTGAGGCAGGAGAATGGCGTAAACCCGGGAGGCGGAGCTTGCAGTGAGCTGAGATCCGGCCACTGCAGTCCAGCCCGGGATACAGAGCAAGACTCCGTCTCAAAACAAAACAAAACAAAACAAAACAAAACAAACAAAAAAAACCATATTTTAAGGCATTAACAAAATGCATTAAGCGCCAAGTGTTCTAAAAATCCTTAAATTCTAGCACAAGGAGCCGAGAAAAAAAATTAAAAGCCTTAAAAGGATCACAATATAAGGAATTAGCTCCTTTATTGTTTTCAAGTGCAAAAGGTACCTAAATCCAACACCACCCTCAGAAGTAACGTCCTTCTAAGACTCCCCATTAAGTTCCTTAATGACGCAAAATAGAAGCCATAGCAACACCAATCCAGCCTGGCCAACATGGGGAAACCCATTCTCTAGTAAAAATACAAAAATTAGCTGGGCATGGTGGTGCACCCCTGTAAGCCCAGCTACTCAGGAGGCTGAGGTAGGAGAATCGCTTGAGCCAGGAGGCAGAGGATGCAGTGAGCTGAGATCGCGCCACTGAGCTCCAACCTGGGCAACAGAGCGAGACTCTTGTCACAAAAACAAAAAAACAAACAATACCAAGTACTTCAGCCAAATATTTTATTATCTCAATAGGATAATGAGGCCAGGCACAGTGGCTCAAGTCTGTTATCTCAGCACTTTGGGAGGCCGAGATGGGTGATCACCTGAAGTCAGGAGTTTGAGACCAGCCTGGCCAACATGGCAATACACTGTCTCTACTAATAATACAAAAAGTAGCCGGGCGTGGTGGCCGGCGCCTGTAATCCCAGCTACTCGGGAGGCTGAGGCAGGAGAATCGCTTGAACCCGGGAGGCGGAGGTTTCGGTGAGGGAGACCAAGTCACTGCACTCCAGCCTGGGCAACAGAGCAAGACTCCGTTATATAAAAAAGAAAATGAGGCAGATCCCAAAATAAAAACCCAAAACCTACCAGTGTCATAAACTTACTTCTTTGCTTTGTATACATAAGCGCATCTCTTGCCCAAATAGAATTCTGTTTCATCTCGGGCATAAACACCTTCAATTTTAAGAAGAGCTGTGTGCTCCCTTTGGTTCCGGAGACCCCGCTTGTAGCCGGCAAAAATGGCCTTGGACCACAGCCTAAGACACAAAAGATACACAACATGAAACATAAGCTTCAGAAAACCAATTTGACTTGTAATAACCCCCATCCAGAAGTTACTCAGAGCAAACATCTACGTTTTTTCTTGCCAATTTTAAGCTCGCATTTAAACGTTCACGTCTAACACACAAAAACAAAGAGCAACCATATTTAAAATGCGTACCTTCCAGACATAGTTCCTTTTAGAAGTCCCGTTCCCAGCAGGCCTGAAAACAAACAAAAAGATTCAGTTTGAAACCAAGCCACGCAAGTTTCTCACCTCGTCCCCTCTCGTTTAAGCCCCGAAGGCAAATTCCTTTTGGATCGGAGTTTCTCGTAGGAGTAAGGGGACAATTATGCCAGAACATCCACATGAAACGCAGGCTCCGGCAAGACACTGAAACCTCAGAGAACAGCTGGCATCTAAGCAAACTTCAGAATGAAGACAAAACTAAGGGACAAGAGTCACAAAAATGACTCTTAGAAAAGCCTGAGAAAATGCGTGCCATTGTCAGGAGGCAACACTCAGGAAAAGAAACGAAGACTTCATCCGAGACTCACACCTAAGACTTATGCATCGGCCGGGTCTCGCAGAAAAGCGGAGGGAAGAGATGGTCAGACAAGCAAAGGGAGGTTTGGACTGCGAGGAAACGGAAAAACCCTGGCCGAAAGGAAGCACTGCCTCATGGACAACTGCAGACGAACAAAATCATCATTTCACTCCGCTCAGGCCCAGGAATTTAACTCGGATAACCGGGGCAGCCGTTCTCGGGGCGTCAGGGGACCAAGCACCATCGGCCCAACATCTGCTCCATCCTGTTCTCCCTCTTCTTGAAACCCATAGAAATCAATGGCTGGCAGAGACTCCAATACACACCGGCAACTCGCCGCGGTATAGCAACAAACCTACTTCGGTTATTTGCCCCCAAATTTCAGCGGCAGGCGCTTCACTCACCTCCACAGGAGCCAAGATGGCGGGAAGAGAAAGACGAGGCCCCGCCGCGTGGCCTTGTGGGATTAAACATCTCTCGACCCCGCCCTCAATTTAGGCATCTTCTCCAAACGCCAGAAAAGCAATCCTCGGAAATCGTCTTCGCACTGAAATAAGCCACATTCAAGAGCACTCTTACAATTATTTTCCTAAGTCCTTTCATCTTGGTAGGCTGCAAAATGTATTACTTGGGAACAGGGGAAGGTAAAATGGTAGCCAGCTAAATCCGCCAAAGCTGTGCGTTGCCATAGAAACAGCTTAGTTTACTTCCTGCGTCACCGGACGCTGTTGATGGAAAGGCGCACCGTGAGTGGAGGACGTTCCCACTGCCTGAAGAATGATTGTAAGATTGATTTGCCAACAGGCGGGTGCATATCCCTCGATCCACAAGCAATAGACAGAACGGAAATTCTAGGTTAGGATTCTGGGATCCTAACCTAGCATGAAAGAGAAAGGCCGGGAGCACGAAGGCAGCAGGACCTCTTCCTTCTCTTTTTTATTTTTCTATGCTTTTTTCCTGCCCTCTACTTATCTATCTCTTTCAAGAAATGAGACTGGGCACGGTGGCTCACGCCTGTAAACCCAGTTCTTTGGGAAACCGAGGCGGGAGGATCGCTTGAGGCTAGGAGTTCGAGACCAGCCTGGGCAATATAGTGAGACCACCTTCCCCCATCTCTACAAAAGAAAAAAAAAAAAAAGAATGAAATGACTTAAGTTCTTACCTCCATTCTTCTTTTTGGATCCGAGGTATGAGAGGGACTGCCTGCAGGAGGCTTTATCGCCCTTTTAGGAGAGCTCGTTTAGCTGCCTCGTATCCGTGTCTAATAGGTCCTCCGTAGATACTTGTAGAGGTGGATTAATGGACGCCAGAGATTCACATTTCCGAATTATTGCATATTTATTTGGGTTACCCTATGGATTCATTCATTTATTTAACAAATAGTTTAATGAATGGCTACCCTGTACCATGGTTTGTGTCGGATGACACAGCAGTAAACAAACAAATCTCTGCCGTCCTGGAGCTTACATCCTACGAAGGGGAGCAAGACAATGAGCAAGTAAAATAGATGACACGTTAGAAGATGATAATTTCTGTGGAGAAAATTAAGCAGAGAGGCCACTGTAAAAGAGGCTTTCCCCCTTTTGAGATGGGAAGTATGTAAGAGAGGCTTCCCCTTCTTTGAGATAGGAAGTATTTAAGGGTTCTGAACAGAAGGGTGACTCTATCTGACTTCCTTATTGACAAAGTCGCTGTGTTGAGACTGAAGGGAGGCAAAGTCACCAGCAGGAAGATAATTATAGGTTCCTGTAGTGATATGATGAGAGGTGATGCTGTGTAAACAGAGGTGATGAGTACTGGAATTCTGAATATATTTAAATTCTGGCAGGATTTGCTGGTGGATGAGGAATGAGAGAGAGGAGTAAAGGATGACTCCAAAGTTGTATGAAATAGATGTAAATAAGTCACTTTTAAAATCAGATCCTCTCTTAAATACATCAGAATGGAACTTGTACCTTGTAGCCTACTACCCCACCCAGTGTTCTCTGTCCCAGGAAGAAATGTGCTAGAAATTTCACCATTAGATATTAATTTGTCAAAGTTCTATATGTAAGTCCTCCTGGGAGGAGTAACACATGAAGTGTGAGTTTCATTCGTTTGCTCATGTATTATTCATTCCACAAACACTTACTGAGCACTGAGACTTAGCACCTGATATAGCTGTGAGCATCGTTGTCATGTTGCTGCTTTCGTGGAGCAGTCGTCTAGTGGGGAAACTGACATAAACATAACCAACTGTGAACCGAGCTCTGCGGGAAAATAGTGGCATGAATGCCCAGAAGCCTGATCTGGCCTGATGAGTCAGGGAAAGGATCACTTGGACAAGGGTCATTTAAGGCATTTTTCAAACTGCAGGTGATGACCCATTAGTAAAGCATGATCAGAATACTTTTTAAAACAAAGTATGGGCTGGGCGAGGTGGCTCACGCCTGTAATCCCAGCACTTTAGGAGGCTGAGGTGGGTGGATCATTTAAGGTCAGGAGTTTGAGACTAGCCTGGCTAACATAGTGAAACCCTGTCTCTGCTAAAAATACAAAGATCAGCCAGGCATGGTGGTGTGTGCCTGTAATCAGCTACTTGGGAGGCTGAGGTACAAGAATCACTTGAACCCAGGAGGTGGAGGTTTCAGTGAGCTGAGATCACACCACTGCACTCCAGCCTGGGTGACAGAGTGAGACTGTCTCAAAAAAAAAAAAAAAAAAAAAAAAGGTAAAGCAGGAGTGAAACTACAAGGGATGTTGGAGTCTCCTGGGATCTAGGAAAGAAATAGTTACCTAAGACCAGAGAGAGACGTTTGCAGAGAATTTTGCCTGACAGGAGCCATGACCTTTGATAGAGGAACAGAACCAACCAGTGATATTCTGGCAGAGAAGGAGCAGGGAGAATAAATGCCTGATTTCATTTCCCTACACTGAATCTCTTTCTGGAATCTTCCCATGGATATACTCCATATGGGCCCGTCTCCCAGAGCACAGAAAATGTTAGGGATTTCACCTACAAAAATGACACTGTCTTAAGCTGGTGATGGGTCAGTGGGACTTTACAAGGTGAAGAGGTGGGGGAAGAGTGGTTCCACTGGAAGGAATAGCAGGTGCAAAGACCCTGAGTTGCAAGGGAGCATGAGTCCATAGGAGAACTGAAAGAAGCCCCTTGTGGCTGGAGCCCAGAGAGCAAGGAAAGGGCAATCGTAGTTGGGTCTAGAGAGGAACAGACGGCCCAGACCATACAGACTTTGTGGACCAAGTCAAGAATTTTGTTCTTTGTCCTAAGGCAATGGGAAACCATTGAAGGGTTCTAGGGAGGGACATGGTCAGATTTTCCATTTTCAAAGATCACTTCCTGAACCTTCTGTCAGTATATCAGAAAGAAAAAAAAAATTTAAATTAAAAGATCACTTCCAATTTAGTGCTTGTTGGAGTAGTTCAAGCAAAAAAGAAAACAAGGAAAAAATTAAACAAACACAGCAACAACTAGGTCCAACTTGGGAGATACAAAAATAGAAGGTAAAATCCGCCTGGGTGCCTTGGCTCACACCTGTAATCCCAACACTTTGGGAGGCCAAGGTGGGTGGATCACCTGAGGTCATGAGTTCCAGACCAGCTTGGCCAACATGGTGAAACCCCATCTCTAATAAAAATACAAAAATGAGCTAGGTGTGGTGGCATGTGCCTGTAATCCCAGCTACTCGGGAGGCTGGGCAGGAGAATCGCTTTAATCCAGAGGCAGAGGCTGCAGTGAGCCAAGATGGCGCCACTGCACTCTAGCCTGGGGGACAAAGTGAGACTCCGTCTCAAAAAAGAAAAAAACAAGGCAAAATCCACAGGCCTTGGTAATGGTTTGGATTAGGAGGATGCTGATATCCAGAGGAAGAAGGTGGCAGGAATGAGTACTGGGTTTCTCGCATGAGGAATGAGAAGCCAGAACAGCAGGAAGGCACTAGAATCTACACAAGCGCAGCCCTGTCTTACCCTTGTGAAGCACAGTTACCTGTTATGCCCCAAACCTAAGAAAGTGGAAAACAAAGAATCAACATCATCAAAAGAAAAATATTGACAGGTGCAGTGGCTCACGCCTGTAATCCCAGCACTTTAGGAGGCCGAGGCGGGTGGATCACCTGAGGTCAGAAGTTCAAGACCAGACTGACCAACATGGAGAAACCCCCGTCTCTACTAAAAATACAAAATTAGCCGGGCGTGGTGGCACATGCCTGTAATCCCAGCTACGCCACAGGAGGCTGAGGCAGGAAAATCACTTGAACCCGGGAGACAGAGGTTGCAGTGAGCCGAGATCACGTCATTGCACTCCAGCCTAGGCAAGAAGAGCAAAATTCCATCTTAAAAAAAAAGAAAGAAAGATATTCTGCTTAATACGATGCTATTTCCTCCTAAAACTGCCCCTGCATCAGGAAATTTGAAGTATTTTTTCAAATTTATATGAAGATTCTGTTTTATATGTTTGAATTTTTGCATATCAGATTTTTGTTGCAAGAGTCATATTTGCACCACCTCTCTCAGAGTTACTTTATTGTGGACGAATTTACATTGGAAACACCACTCACTGTCCATTCAGTACAACGCAAAATTCTCCATAGGTGTTCTCACTGTGAAGCTCATTTAAGCAGAAAGGATTTTGGTTTACTCTAGAGGGGTAACATCTTGATAGCAGTGTCAAACTGATTTCTGATTTCCAGGATTAATATAGTTTTTCTTTCCTCCCCTTTTTTTTTTTTTTTTTGAGACGGAGTCTCGCTCTGTCCCCCAGGCTGGAGTGCAGTAGCGCAATCTCACAGCTGCTCACTGCAAGCTCCACCTCCCAGGTCCACGTCATTCTCCTGCTTCAGCCTCCCGAGTATCTGGGACTATAGGCACCTGCCACCACGCCTGGCTAATTTTTTGTATTTTTTAGTAGAGACGGGGTTTCACCATGTTGGCCAGGATGGTCTCGATCTCCTGACCTCGTGATCCGCCCGCCTCGGCCTCCCAAAGTGCTGGGATTCCAAGCGTGAGCCACCGCGCCCGGCCCCAATTAATACAGTTTTTCTAAATGTCATCTCAATTACTCCTCTAAGCACATGTGGAGCAAATTCCGTTATCTGGCGGATAAGATGGATTGAGTGATCTAATTAAATGTCAGAGTAATTAGAATGATAGAAAAAATCAAGTATATAGAGATTACCAATTAAAATTGTGATACCATGGAACACTCTAAAACCAGATAGAACATTAATTTACCTTAAGAAGAGGCCCACAGAGTGCGTGCGTCTTGAGCTTGGTAGAGCAGTAAGAATTCAGTCGACTTCTTCATAGACCTGCGGTCCATGATGTCGGTGTTTCTTTCGCCTCTGAGACTGCTCCACTCTGCACAAAGAGGCGACAGTCACAGCTCCCGTAATCATTTAATTTTCTCTGAATAAAATGGTATTGAAATAACTGAAACATCATTGAAGACTTGCATAAACTAATCTCAGTGTTTCCTTCCCATTTTAGGTAGCTGCACTTCTGTGAGATTATAAATATTCCACGGAGGGTAACGGAACTACAGGAGAATGGAAGAGTATGTTTACAATTCCTATGTTTTTTGTATACATGTATTTAAATTATGACTTCTGTTAAAGGTCTGTGTATACCTTATCTACTGCTGTGTGACAGATCACCCCAGAACTTAGTGACTTAAAATACAAACATTTATTCTTTCCCACAGTTTCTGCAGGTCCCAAGGTTAGGAGCAGGTTAGCTGGATGGTGCTGGCTTGGGGTCTCTCCTGCACTTGAAGTTGGCCATGGGTGGCAGTGATGGCAATGATCTGAAGACCTGATGGGGGCTGGAGTATCCACTGCCAAGGTGGTTCATTGACAGAGCTGGCAAGTTGGTGCAGGCTGCCAGCAAGAGGCCTTTGTTCCTTACCCTCATGGATGTGTCCACAGTGCTGCTGAAGTGTCCTCATGCCGAAGCAGCTGTCATCCCTCACACTGAGAGATTTGAGAGAGGAAGGCGGAAGCTGCAATGTCTTTTATCACTTAGCCGTGGAAGTCCCACTCCATCATTGCCACAATAACCTTCTGGTTACATAGGCTGGTCCTACTCAGTGTGGCGTAGACTACACAGAAGCATTAATACCAGAAAGTGAGAATCATTTGGGCCACCTTGGAGCCTGGATACCACATTCTGTTTTTCACTCATCAGGAGACACTTTTGGTTAGCATCTAAAGATACTCCTAGGGGAAAAAAGTTAATTTTGGCTCAAATTCAAATTGATCAGCATAGCCAAATTGCATGAGCTACGTATCTTTATTAAACAGTAGGCCAGGTGTGGTGGCTCACGCCTGTAATCCCAGCACTTTGGGAGGCTGAGCGGGGTGGATCACCTGAGGTTGGGAGTTCAAGACCAACCTGACCAACATGGAGAAACCCCATCTCTACTAAAAACACAAACTTAGCCGGGTGTGGCGGCAGGTGCCTGTAGTCCCAGCTACTCAGGAGGCTGAGGCAGGAGAATCGCTTGAACCTGGGAGGCAGAGTTTGCGGTGAGCTGAGATCGCGCCATTGCACTCCAGCCTGGGCAACAAGAACGAAACTCCATCTCAAAAAAAGGGAAAAAAAAAAAAAAGTAAGTTGTTTGCCTTTGGTCAAAATGGAAGATATTTAGCAGAATCACACTCCAATTCCTACTTTTTTTTTAAAATCTAGGTTATATTATATGACAACATGAATATCACAGGAGCCCAGCATGTTGCTGCCTGTACTTTTGAGTTAAAGTAATGTTTAAATATTGGTCGCTGACTTATTTTTTCTTTATTCTTTCCTTAGAGACAGCCTGGAAGACTCAAACCTTCCTCCAAAAGTTTGGCATTCTGAGATGACAGTGTCAGTGACAGGCAAACCACCTAGTACCGTAGAAGAAGACGGACTACCTAAAGAAACAGACGTAGAAATCATCCCAGAAATCCTAGAAACCCGAGAGCCACTTTCGCTTCCAGATGTGCTGAGGATCTTGGCAGTTCTGGAGGACACCACAGACCAGCTCTCTATTCTAAACTACATCATGCCCGTTCAGTACGAAGGAAGACAGAGCGTCTGCATGGTATTTACCCACTCACGATGAGACTATGAGTTACTTTTGCTTTATTTTTTATTTCTCCCTCATTTATAGTACCTATCTCATTAAATGTATTGATTTATCTTTCTCTCTCTCTTTCCTTCTTTTTTTTTTTTTTTTTTTTCCTGACAGGGTCTCGCTCTGTGGCCTAGGCTGGAGTGTAGGGGTGCCGTCATGGCTGACTGCGACCTTTACCTCCCAGGCTCAAGTGATCCTCCCACCTCAGTCTCCTGGGTAGCTGGGACTACAGGCCTGCACTGCCACATCCGGCTAATTTTTTATAAAAGTTCTATAGAGATGGGATCTCACTGTGTTGTCCAGGCTGGTGCCATTAAATATCACTTGGGAAATAGCACCTTTATTTCAGATAAAGGGCTACACTAACTATCTGAGATATGTACTCTCAATTGATGGAGTGAAATGGTCATAACTGAAGGTACATTACCGGACAGAATATCCTTTTCCACTGTATTGGCATTATCCAAAAAGGCCTGTACGGAAATCAGTATAAATACAATACCGCAGAGAGGGAATTACTAAGCCGTCCACCCAGCTTGTGTTTCTCCGCTGCTGAACCCTAACTGAACACTAGGGGAGGAAGTTCAGCTCCGGTCTTCACTCGCTTTCATCTGAAATGACTTGTCATGGATGAACACCTTGCAACTTGCCTTCCTGAAGATCCAGCCGCATTACTGTGTCAGCCATTACATTTTCTTTTTTTCTTTTTTTTTTTTTTTTTTGAGGCGGAGTCTCGCTCTGTCGCCCAGGCTGGAGTGAGCGGCCCAGGCTGGAGTGAGCGGCGCGATCTCGGCTCCCTGCAAGCTCCGCCTCCCCGGGTTCCCGCCGTTCTCCGGCCTCAGCCTCCCGAGCAGCTGGGACCACAGGCGCCGCCATCACGCCCGGCTAGTGTTTTGTATTTTTAGCAGAGACGGGGTTTCACCGTGTTAGCCAGGGTGGTCTCGATCTCCTGACCTGGTGATCCGCCCGCTTCGGCCTCCCAAAGTGCTGGGACCACAGGCGCCGCCACCGCACCCGGCTAGTGTTTTGTATTTTTAGCAGAGACGGGGTTTCACCGGGTTAACCAAGCCCTTAGATTTTCGATCGTGTTTTGGACTGCTCGGTGAAGCAGCACTGAGTTATTAGAAAGTTAATTTAGTAGTGAGCAAAGTCTTTATACATGTTTAGCTCGTGTACATTTCAATAACTCAGGTTGTAGGTATAAAATGGAAACAATTTATAAATAGAAATATATATTTATCAAGTTTTACATAATAGCATTATATAACTTGTGCAGAAGATACTCTTTTTTATTTATTTTTTATTTTTTTTATTTTTTTGAGACGGAGTTTCGCTCTTCTTGCCCAGGCTGGAGTGTCTCGGCTCACTGCAACCTCCGCCTCCTGGGTTCAAGCGATTCTCCTGCCTCAGCCTCCCGAGTAGCTGGGATTACCCGCATGCGCCACCACACCCAACTAATTTTGTATTTTTAGTAGAGATGGGGTTTCTCCATGTTGGTCAGGCTGGTCTTGAACTCCCAGCCTCAAGTGATCTGCCCGCCTCGGCCTCCCAAAGTGCTGAGATTACAGGCATGAGCCACCGCGCCCGGCCCAGAAGATATTCTTATGTCTGATTCTATGACCAATGAAAATTGCTATATAAATGAGAAGGTAAAATGCTTTTGTTTTGTTTTGTTTTGTTTTGTTTTGTTTTTGATTTTCATGTCTAACAGTAAAGAAGTCTATATAGAGAGAAGAAAATTACATTTCCATTTACTTTTCCATTAAAATTTCAAAGTTTTAAAATTATTATTGTTACACATACAGTCTGGGTTCTTAAAGCTTTCATTAAAGTTTAAAAAGTTTAGATAAGATTTTATAGAGCAATGGCTTTGGAGTCAGGAGGCGTCTGGGATATAGTTTTGTGCTGTTAGCAGTCACTTCACTTTTTTGGTCTAAGTTTTCTCATTTGTAAGTTGTAATGGAGTTTTACCTAAATGACCCATAGATCCCTTGTAGTGCCAGCCTTCTATGAGTTTTGGGGTAGTTTTAAAATAATATAAGTATCACAGGAATTGTATAATGTAAGTTAACTTCCTTGTTAACTTATGAAGGGCAAACAGATAAGAATCTAAGAACAAAATCTTCCATTGCATTTAAAATAAGAGTCTAATCTTAACAATTTAAGATGGCTAACAAATAGAACACAAGAGACTGGTGTGTTCTTCCTATTTATTATCTCCTTCAACAAGAATCAAAAATAAAATGGGTGCTTTGGGAGGCCAAGGTGGGAGAAATGCTTGAGGCCAGGAGTTTGAGACCAGTCTGGGCAGCAGAGAAGACCCCATCTCTACCAAGAAAATACAAAAATTAGCCAGGCATGGTGGCATACACCTGTAGTCCCAGCTACTCAGGAGGCTGATATGGGACGATCATTTGAGCCCATGAGACTGAGGCTGCGGTAAGCCAAGGTCATATCACTGCATGCCAACCTGGGTGAAAGTGTGAGACCTTGTTGAAAGAGAAAGAAAGAAGGAAGGAAGGAGGGAAGGAAGGAAGGAAGGAAGGAAGGAAGGAAGGAAGGAAGGAAGGAAGGAAGGAAGGAAGGAAGGAAGGAGAGAAAAGGGTATGTAAGGAAGGAGAAGGGATCGGAAGGAAGGAAGGAGGGAGGGAGAAAGGGAAGGAAGGAAGGAAGGAAGGAAGGAAGGAAGGACGGACGGACAAACAAATGGGAAGACATTCAGTTAATAAATGAAGTCTTTTCAATGCTACCTGCTGTCAGCCTTTGAAAAGAGTAATTTGCCATCATGGAATCTCAAGAATGAAAACGCTGAATTAATCGACAGTATTCAGCAGCAGTCACTTCTCCAGTAAATAAAAGAATGAAACTTTTGCACTGCTTTTTTCTGGTTTTTTATAGTGACCTTTTACCCACAGAATTTTCTGACTCAACAGAAACCCCCCTTGGGATTTTACTGTAGTGTAAATAGTAATATTTAGTATGTATAATTATGGTAACTTTACCATAATCATGTTGATTAATAGCAATTTAAAAGCCCATTTCTCAATATGTTAGTTTCATATCTTTTAAAAATTGTGAATCTCTTAAAATATTTTTTGGTTTTTATTTCATGGTACTATAGTTGTTCTGACTCATGAATTTGAGGATGCTGCTGCCCCGTAGGGCCTAGGCTATATATTTTTAAATGCTAGTATGTATATAGATGTTTTCTTTCCCAAAGGCTTGACATCCTTTAGCCTCTTAACAACCTTGAAAGGAAAGGTTAGCATTATCCCTCTTTTAAAACCGTTTTTACAGCTAAGGCCATCTCCAGGTACATTTTCCTGTATTAGAATTATGAAATGAAAGGATGAAACATATATTAATTACCTGGTTCTACCATAAATGAGAGTGATTTGACCAAAGTTTGGAAAGAACTTTCTTGCAGGGAATACTGTTTTTCTTCTCTTTTTCTTTACAGTAAAAAACCCTGTCTTGTACATAGTGTGTGTAATATAAAATATATAAATTATATATATATAAATTTTTAGAGGCCGGGCACGGTGGCTCACGCCTGTAATCTCAGCGCTTTGGGAGGCCGAGGCAGGTGGATCACCTGAGGTCAGGAGTTTGAGACCAGCCTGGCCAAAATGGCGAAACCCCGTCTCTACTAAAAATACAAAAAAATTAGCTGTGCATGATGGTGCCCGCCTGTAATCCCAGCCACTCAGGAGGCTGATGCAGGAGAATTGCTTGAACCCGGGAGGCAGAGGTTGCAGTGAGTGGAGATTGTGCCACTGTAATCCAGCCTGAGCAACAGAGTGAGACTCCATCTCAAAAAAAATTTTTTTTAGTGAGTCAACTAGAACACTTAGCTCAGTTCTTTAATTTTATTCTAAAAATTCACATTTCTTTCTAGTAATAGGTAAGTCAGGCCATGTGACACATTTGTGTCCTTTTCCAGATGTCCAAGTATAAAGGTAGAGGAATAGTGGTTAGGGAACTCAGAAAATGGGACATCCCAGAGGCCACAGTGAGACGAGATCGTGCCACTGCGCTCCAGCCTGGGCAACAGCGAGACTCCGTCCCAAAAGAAAAAAGAAAAAAGACAGTGGGGCCTCCTAGACCTTACATTTTCCCCTTATTGCCTTAGACAGAATCTAAAATAATAACCGTTTATTTTACCAGCAGGAAATGGGGACACAGAGATGTTAAATAGTTGCCCAAGGTCAATACAGTTGAGAGATGGAGCTGGACTCAAACACGGTTTCAGAACCCACATGTGTAGTCACTGCATTGTGTGGCCTCTCAGTGGCTCAAGCGTTTAGCCACAGTTTAATTTACACAGGCATCATCAACTGAAAGGCATATGCTGTTCCTGTGGTCCCTTAATATTCAAGTTTGGGTCTGAAAAAGAAATGATTTTGGCTTTTCCCTCCACGATCCTCAAAATTTACACCACGCCACTAAATGTACTATCAACTTCTGCTTTTAGTGTCATTCTCCTTTTTAAATTTATTTTTCATGTTCATATATTCAATGAGCATTTGCGTCTCTGCTATATGCTAGTCATTGTTCTAAGCAATGGGACTGTAAAGATGGCCACATTTATTGAATATCCAATCTTGTTCCAAAAATAACTTGAGACTAGTCTTCAAAAAAAGTTTTTTTGAAGGGGAACCAAGATCGCTAAGACACTGTTCCCTCCCTCCTAGAAACCATGACCTGATGGAGATACTTTATAAAAAATTACAATATGAGAAATGCCTGCTAACAGAGATATTTCACAAAGAACTTTACTTTTGAGCTGAGTGTAGCAGGTGGTAAGTTAGGGAATGACAGAGAGGGGAAATGTTGTGTGAAGTTAGCAGCAGGGCATGGTTTCGTGTGGCTGAAGAAAGGGGCACATTTTCTTGGAGGATAGGGTAGAAGTCAGAGAAGATAACGTTGAAAAATGTAGACAAGGTCGGGCGCGGTGGCTCAAGCCTGTAATCCCAGCACTTTGGGAGGCCGAGACGGGCGGATCACGAGGTCAGGAGATCGAGACCATCCTGACTAACGCGGTGAAACCCCGTCTCTACCAAAAAAACACAAAAAACTAGCCGGGCGAGGTGGCGGGTGCCTGTAGTCCCAGCTCCTCGGGAGGCTGAGGCAGGAGAATGGCGTGAACCCGGGAGGTGGAGCTTGCAGTGAGCTGAGATCTGGCCACTGCACTCCAGCCTGGGTGACAGAGCGAGACTCCGTCTCAAAAAAAAAAAAAAAGAAAAATGTAGACAAAGGCCTCTTTCTTGTGGTTGTCTCTTTAACAAAATTATTTCTAATACTGTTTATTGTTTTAAAAGAAAAGCAGAGAAATGAATCTAGAAGGAAAGAATCTAGACAAACTGCCAGTGGCTTCAACAGTTACAAAAATACCCAGTCCGTTAATAACCAAGGAAAGACCCAGCTTGCCAGAAATCAGACAAGGAGGCCAGTTCGCTGTGGAGTTTCGCAAAACGCAGGATCTTCTCTTCAAAAAACCTGCAAGGCAGACCATCGTGACTACGGAGACACTGAAGAAAATTCAGATCGATAGGTAAGGAGGGAAGACATTTAGCAGTGGACTTACGTATTTATACATAGATGAGAGAATGGGTGCCCGGGTGGCTGACTGCTCTCTTCTACGGGTTAGTCATTACTGTGTATGCAAAATGACTGCTGAGAAGAAAATTAGCTCAAGACTGCCTAGAGGCAGGGTGATATGAATAGAAAGCAAGGCGGCTGTATGATATTGCATAAGTTACTAAGTCTTTCTTTTTTGTTTCTTTTTTTTTTTTTTTTGAGACGGAGTTTCGCTCTTGTCGCCCAGCTGGAGTGTAGTGGCGTGATCTCGGCTCAGTGCAGCCTCCACCTCCCGGGTTCAAGCAATTCTCCTGCCTCAGCCTCCTGAAGAGCTGGGATTACAGGTGCATGCCTCCACACCCGGCTAATTTTTGTATTATTTAGCAAAACCCCAGGTTTCACCATGTTGCCCAGGCTACTCTTGAACTCCTGACCTCAGATGATCCACCTGCCTCTGCCTCCCAAAGTGCTGGGATTACAGGCGTGAGCCACTGTCCCCGGCCATTTGTCTTTGTTTCCAATTTTTATTTTATTTATTTTTAAAATTTTTTCTTTTTTCTTTTTTTTTTTCCTTCAGACTTATACCTGCAGACTGTTTATTTTTTAGAGACGAGGTCACTCTGTAGCCCAGGCTGGAAGCCAGTGGCTACTGACAGAGATATCATACAGCATGCCGCCCTCAAGCTTCTGGCTTCCAGTGATCCTCTCACAGGGCTGGGACGACAGGCGCGCTGGCTGTTTTCAATTACTAAAAATGAGATGGGCCGGGTGCCAGGGCTCACACCTGTAATCCCAGCACTTTGGGAGGCCAAGGCGGGCGGATCACGAGGTCAGGAGTTTGAGACCAACCTGGCCAACATGGTGAAACCCAGTCTCTACTAAAAATACAAAAATTAGCCAGGTGTGGTGGTGCATGCCTGTAATCCCAGCTACTCAGGAGGCTGAGGTAAGAGAAGTGTTTGAACCTGGGAGGCGGAGGTTACAGTGAGCCAAGATGGCACCACTGCACTCCAGCCAGGGCAACAGAGCAAGACTCCGTCTCGAAAGAAAAAAGTGACAATGATAGCAACCTTGCAACATTAGTGTAAGGGTTAGAAATAAGGCTTTAGCCTAGTGCCTGGCACAAATTGGTAGCTATTGTGATGCTTTATCCATTAATAGCTACTTTATAGCTATTTCTTATTATTCTATATAGCCAAATTCCAAACTGTGTTTTAATCCTGAGGGTTTCTTAAAGGCAGTCTAAATTCCCATTGTCTCATAATTTTTTATCGTCAGCTGCCTCAGTGACAAAGAAGCCTGTTAAGAGGGTGTAACAGTATGTTGAGAACTTTTGGTAAATGAGAGTTTACTGCAATTACCCAGGGCCACTACCTGTATCCAGTCTGAAGTCTGTTTTTGAAAAGTTTTACTGGAATATGGCATTGCCCATTTGTTTATACGTTGTCTGTGATTGCTTTCATGCCACAGTGCAGAGCTGAGTCATTGCCAAAGAGAACTTATACCCTGCAAAGCCAGATGTTTACTATTTTTCCCTTTACAGAAAAAGTTTGCTGACCTCGGTATTAGACCCTAACCAAGGGTAAGATCTCGTTAAAGTCTATCTGGCCCAGATCTGCATCAGACAGAAAGGCATCCTGCTTATAAATTGCCCGGTTCATGTGCTTTTCATTCTCAGTGTGTGGCTCGTATCTTTTCCTGAAAAACCCAAAATACCAGTCGCAATTATTTGTAGGGGATTAGTTTTAGATTTATATTCCATATGAAACCCAGGGTATACTCACAAAATGTACATCTCCACCAGTTATCCAGAATCAAAGTGGAAATCAAAATATCAAAGACATAAAAACTACAACAGGCCAGGCGTGGCGGCTCACACCTGTGATCCTAACACTTTGGGAGGCCAAGGTGGGAGTAAGGAAGGAGACCACTACTACTCCTGCTGCCCTCCTCCCCCCACCGTGCCTACTTCACAAGACAGGAGGAGAGAAAAAGCAAAATGCTAGAAAGAAACAAAAGTAAGATAAAAAGCCAGACAACCTTGGCACCACCACCCGACCCTAGGAGTTAAAAAAGTAATAATAGTAACATCAACCCCTGACCTAAACTACTTGTGTTGTCTGTAAACTCCAGACACTGTATGAAAAAAGCATCGTAAAACTTTCTGTTCTGTTAGCGGATGCATGTAGCCCCCAGTCACGTTTCCCACGCGTGCTCGATTTACCACGACCCTTTCACGTGGACCCCTTAAAGTTGTAAGCCTTTACAAAGGCCACGAATTTCTTTTTCGAGGAGCTCATCTTTTAAGACACGAGTCTGCTAATGCTCGCAGCCGAATAAAAAGCCTCTTCCTCCTTTAATCCGGTGTCTGAGGAGTTTTGTCTGTGGCTCGTCCCGCTACAGGAGAATTACATGAGCCCAGGAGTTTGAAACCAGCCTGGGTAACATATGAAATCTCATCTCTACTAAAAATCAAAAAAATTAGCTGGGCATGGTGGTGCACACCTGTGGTCTAGCTACTCTGGAGGCTGAGGTGGGAGGATCACACAAGCCTGGGAAATTGAGGCTGCAGTGAGCCGTGATTGTGCCACTGCACTCCAGCAGGGATGACAGTGAGGCCCCATCTCAAAAAAAAAAAACTGAAAAAGCAAAACAACAACAACAAAAAAACTACAACACTTTATGAATTTAAAATGGGAATTTGTAGGAAGTTTGTGTATGCTTTCCTTGCTTTACTCATCTTTATGTATCATTGTCTTATTGCATTAAATTAATAATTACTTTATCATAACATACTACTGTCAAAAGACAAAATTGCAACAAATCTAAATATCTTAATTGGCTTTTATTCGCAATTCTAAATCAGGCAACACCTCATTCTATGAAGTAGAAGTACTGTTCTGATGACCTGGGCAGAGGAGGTTGGCTTTACAGGCAGAAAAGGGCTGAAGAAAGCAGAAACAGAGAACATAACGTGAATGGTCTTGTCAAAGTTACTTTCCTGGCTGCAGGTGGTGGCTCACACCTGTGATCCCAGCACTTTGCGAGGCTGAAGTGGGAGGAGCGCTTGAAGCTAGGAGTTCAAGACCAGTCTGGGCAACATAGCGATACCTCATCTCCACAGAAATGAAAACAATTAGCTGGGCATGGTGGCGTGCTTTAGTCTTAGCTACTCAGGAGGCTGAGGCGGGGGAGGATCACTCAAACCGGGGAGGTAGAAGTTACAGTGAGTTATGATCATGCCACTGCATTCCAGCCTGAGTGACAGGGTGAGACCCTGTCTCTAATTAATTAATTAACAATTTAAAAAATCACAAAGTTACTTTTCTTTTTTTTTTGGAGACAGAGTCTCATTCTGTTGCCCAGACTGGAGTGCAGTGGCGTGATCCCGGCTCACTGCACCTCCGCCTCCTGGATCCAAGTGATTCTCCTGCCTCAGCCTCCCAAGTAGCTGGGATTACAGGCACGAGCCACCAGGCCCAGCTAATTTTGTAGTTTTAGTAGAGACGGGGTTTCCCATGTTGGCCAGGCTGGTCTCCAACTCCCGACCTCAGGTGATCCGCCCGCCTCAGTCTCCCAAAGTGCTGGGATCACAGGCGTGAGCCACTGTGCCCGGCCACAAAATTAGTTTTCTTGGAAAGATTAAAGCAGAGGGGACTTCCTTACCATGCCAGCTAAAACTGCCAATCCCCCCTTCCCTCTCCCTTGAGTTCTTTGTTAAGGAAAATAGTAACTATAATTATTGCCAACTATGTCAAAACATTAAATAGCAGTTTTTAATTTTTATTTTATTATTATCATTATTTTGAGACAGGGTCTCACTCTGTCACCCAGGCAGGAGTGCAGTGGCACAAACATGACTCACTGCAGCCTCGAACCACCCTCCTACCTCAGCCTCCTGAGTAGCAGGGATTATAGGCACGTGCCACCATGACCAGCCTTTTTTTTTTTTTTAATTTTTGTGAGATGGGGGGGGTCTCATGATGTTGCCCAGACTGGTCTTGAACTCCTGGACTCAAGTGATCCTCCTGCCTCGGCCCCTCAAAGTGCTGGGATTACAGGTGTGAGCCCTTGTGCCCGGCCTAAACAGCAGTTTTTTTTAACACTCCACTTAGGAGAGTATCATGAAGAACAGCGACTAGGCGTTAGGAAACCTGGATTATATATTTCCAGCTCTTTCTCAAACTAGTTATGTGACCACGGGCAAGTCACTTAACTTTCCTGAACCTGGTTTACTCATCTCGAAAATGTGAACATTTGGCCGGGCGCGGTGGCTCACGCCTGTAATCTTAGCACTTTGGGAGGCTGAGGTGGGCAGATCACTTGAGGTCTGGAGTTTGAGACCAGCCTGGCCAACATGGTGAAACCCTGTCTCTAATAAAAATACAAAAATTAGCCGGGCGTGGTGGCAGGTGTCTGTAGTCCCAGCTATTCGGGAGGCTGAGGCAGGAGAATGGTGTGAACCCGGGAGGTGGAGGTTGCGGTGAGCTGAGATCCGGCCACTGCACTCCAGCCTGGGCGACAGAGTGAGGCTCCATCTCAAAAAAAAAAAAAGAAAAAAAGACCCAGAAGGAACATCATAATGAAATTGGAATTATCCCAGGAATGCAAAAATAGTTTAGCATCAGAAAATGTAAAAAAATAAATAAAGAGAAAGATCAATAGATGCAGAAAAGACATTTGGCAAAATTCAGCATTTAATCATCATTTAAAAACCAATACCAAAAACCTCTTAGCAAACTAGAAATTAAAGAAACTTTTTTTTTTTAGCCAAGTGACGTGGCCCACACTTGTAATCCCAGCTACTCAGGAGGCTGAGGCGGGAGAGTCACTTGAACCCAGGAGGCAGAGGCTGCAGTGAGCCGAGATAGAGCCACGGCACTCCAGCCCGGGTAACAGAGCGAGTCTCCATCTCAAAAAAAATAAAAATAAAAACATGTAAAACTACACACATGTAAAACACACAAACACATAATAAAAGTATCACAACATGCTAGATATTCTCTAGCATCATTGTGATATTCTCTAGTATCACAACATGCTAGAGAAGAACAATCACCAAATTCAGAAGAGTGTTTATCTTTGGGGAAGATTGAGGAGACTGGGACTAGAGACTTTAGATATATCTGACATATGTAATCTTTAAAAAAAACCAAGTCTCTACCATGGTAAAATATTTAAATTTGGTGTTACATACATAAATATTCATTATTTTATTCATTATACTTTCTAAATTTTTGAAATATTTCATAATTTTGAAAAAGTTAAATCATTAAAACAAATTTTTTTAAAAAACCCAATCAAGCTTTTGTGTTTTTTCTTTTTTCTTTTTTTTTTTTTTTGAGACAGAGTCTGGCTCTGTCACCCAGGCTGGAGTGCAGTGGCGTGATCTCAGCTCACTGCAACCTCTGCCTCCTGCATTCAAGTGATTCTCCTGCCTCAGCCTCTCAAGTAGCTGGGATTACAGGCCCCCGCCACCACACCTGGCTAATTTTTGTATTTTTAGTAGAGAAGGGATTTCACCATCTTGGCCAGGCTGGTCTCGAACGCCTGACCTCAGGTGATCCACGCGCCTCTGCCTCCTGAAGTGCTGGGATTACAGGCGTGAGCCACTGCACCTGGCCTGGGTCTTAACTTGTGTGACTTCTGTAGCCCTTTGTGAATGTAGGAAAATGCATATTTTTTATATGTATATCAATACATATATATAAATATAATATATATATATATTTTGAGATCAGGTCTTGCTATGTAGTCCCAGCTGATATCAAACTCCTGGGCTCAAGCAATTCTTCCACCTCAGCCTCCCAAGTAGCTGGAATTAGGGCGCATGCCACTGCACCTGGCCTGAAAATATGGATTTATTTATTAATTTATTGAGATGGAGTCTTGCTCTGTTGCCAGGCTGGAGTGCAGTGGTGATCTTGGCTCACTGCAACCTCCAACTCCCAGGTTCCAGTGATTCTCCTGCCTCAGCCTCCCAAGTAGCTGGGATTATAGATGCCCGCCACCAGGCCCGGCTAATCTTTTTGTATTTTTAGTAGAGACGGGGTTTTACCATGTTGACCAGGATGGTCTTGATCTCCTGACCTCGTGATCTGCCTGCCTCGGCTTCCCAAAGTGCTGGGGTTACAGGCGTGAGCCATCACACCGGGCCAAAAACATAATTGATTAACTCATTTTTTTGTTGGTCTGTTTCTCCTTACAGGCAGTTTTTCAGCGATGTGATTGCAGATACCATTGAGGAGTTGCAAGATTCGGGTACTTACAACAGTCTCCTGCAAGCTTTGAGCAAAGAGAGAGAAAACAAAATGCATTTCTATGACGTCATTGCCAGGTCAGAGTCATGTTAGGTTTACTTGCTTTGCTGTATTTTAAAGTGCTAAAACACTCTTACTGGAAATCCTTGAACGTTAAAGCAAACCAGCCATGTGCTTTCCAGGGAAGATTACTAGAAGTCAGAATTTGGGTTTTCTTCCTAGTTCTGCTGGGACAGTAAGTCAGATTTCTAGGCCTTCGTTATCTGTATTTACAATATGTCAAGACGATTCTTCTTTTTCTAGTAATCTTTCTTAAGATTGAATTCAGCTGGGCGCAGTGGCGCACACCTGTAATCCCAGCACTTTGGGAGGCTGAGGCGGGCGGATCACAAGGTCAGGAGATTGAGACCATCCTGGCCAACGTGGTGAAACCCCGTTTCTACTAAAAATGCAAAAAATTAGCCGGGCGTGGTGGCAGACGCCTGTAGTTCCAGCTACTCGGGAGGCTGAGGCAGGAGAATGGCATGAACCTGGGAGGTGGAGCTTGCAGTGAGGCGAGATCGCACCACTGCACTCCAGCCTGGGTAACAGAGCGAGACTCCAGTCTCAAAAAAAAAAAAAAAAAAAATTTAATTCATTGAAAATCACTGAACAATAACAAATGAATGCCAAGGACAGTTTTTCTTTTCCAGAACCTTTCAACTTATGAATTCTTTCTAGAACTGCTTTTTTTTTTTTTTTTTTTTGGTTTGTTTTGTTTTTTTGAGATGGAGTCTTACTCTGTCGCCCAGGTTGCTGTACAGTGGCACGGTCTCAGTTCACTGCAACCTCTGTTTTCCAGGTTCAAGCGATCCTCCTGCCTCAGCCTCCCAAGTAGCTGGGATTACAGGTCTGCACCACCACGCCCAGCTAATTTTGTAGTTTTAGTAGAGATGGGGTTTCACCATGTTGGCCAGGCTGGTCTCGAACTCCTGACTGCAAGTAATCCACCCACCTCGGCCTCTCAAAGTGCTGGAATTACAGGCGTGAGCCACTGCACCCAGCCTGGAACTCTCTTTGGATGTCAATCCTGTAATGATTGATCCTGAATTTTTCTTGTCCTTTTTTGCTTATTTACCATCTGCATTGTTTTTATTCCATTCTTAGAGAGATTTCCGATTTCCTTAACTTTGTCTTCCAACTCTTTCTTTTTTTTTTTTTTTTTTTTTGAGACAGAGTCTCTCTGTCACCAGGCTGGAGTGCAGTGGCACAATCTTGGCTCACTGCAACCTCCGCCTCCCAGGTTCAAGTGATTCTCCTGCCTCAGCCTCCCTAGTAGCTGGGATTATAGGCACCCATCACTGTGCCTGGCTAATTTTTGTATTTTTGGTAGAGACAGTGTTTCACCATGTTGGCCAGGATGGTCTCGATCTCTTGACCACATGATCCACCCACCTTGGCCTCCCAAAGTGCTGGGATTATGGGCTCTTTTTCTTTTTTTTCTGAGACTGGGTCTTGCTCTGCCTCCCAGGCCGAAGTGCAGTGGCATGATCACAGCTCACTGTAGCCTCAACCTGGGTCCCAGGCCCAAGTGGGTAGCCTCCCAAGTAGCCAGGACCACGGGTGTGTGCCACCATGCCTGGCTAATTGTTTTATTTTTGTAAAGTCAGAGTCTCACCATGTTAACCAGGCTGGTCTCAAAATCGTGGGCTCAAACAATCCACCCACCTCAGCCTCCCAAAGTTTTGGGATCATGCCTGTAACCCCAACCACAACTGGCCTTATCTTCCAACTCTTGTGTTTAATTTTTCAAAATGTTATGCTAACATTGATTTCTAAGAGCTCTTCCCTGAGTTTTTCATTTTTTATGGTATCCTTTTTTGTCACTCAGGCTGGAGTGCAGTGGCATGATCTTGGCTCACGGCAGCCTCAACTTCCTGGGCTCAAGCAGTCCTCCTGCCTCAGCCCCTCAAGTCGCTGGGGACCCAGGCATGCCCAGCTAATTTTTTCTATTGTTTTGTAGAGATGGGGTTTTGCCAGGTTGCCCAGGCTGGTCTCGAACTCCTGAGCTCAAGTGATCTGCCTGTCTTGGCCTCCCAAAGTGCCGGGATTACAGGTTTGAACCACCATACCCAGCCTTCTCATATAGTTCTAAGAACATTAATTATAGTTGTCTGTCTTTGGTTTAAATTGTCTTCTGTTTCTTGTATTGTCTTTCTTCTCTCTGAGTTACTTTTTCTCCCATTTGGTTTAGTTCTGTTTTGTTTTGGAGACAGAGTTTCACTCTTGTTGCCCATGCTAGAGTGCATGCGCCCGCCTCAGCCTCCCAGAGTGCTGGGATTACAGGCGTATGGCGCCCGCCTCGGCCTTCCAGAGTGCTGGGATTACAGGCGTATGGCGCCCGCCTCGGCCTCCCAGAGTGCTGGGATTACAGGCGTATGGTGCCCGCCTCGGCCTTCCAGAGTGCTGGGATTACAGGCGTGAGCCACCACACCCAGCCTTCTGTTTTGTTTTGTTTTGTTTTTTAATTTACATCTAAATTTTTTAGAGGAAAATGTTACTCTGTCACCCAGGCTGGAGTGCGGTGGCACAATCATAGCCCACTGCAGCCTCAAACTCCTGAGCTCAAGCTATCCTTCTGCCTCAGCCTCCTGACTAGCTGGAAGACATTTGCCACTATGCCCAGCTAATTTTTTTTTTTTTTAAGAGACGAAGTCTCACTATGTTGCCCACGCTAGTCTCCAACTCCTGGCCTTAAGTGATCCTTCCACCTTGGCCTCCCAAAGTGTTGGGCTTATAGGTGTGAGCCACCGCACCTGGCTCTAGTCTCTGCTTTTAATGTTAGGGGAATTGTGTTTGGTCATCTTTGGCCGTCCGTTTGTATTTAAGAGTGAAGTGCAAAGAAGCCGATGGATGCTGTGCTTTGCGCATGTGAACAGCGCTGCACTGTAGCAAGGCTGGGCAGAAAAGAAAAGCACATCTTCTCCCTCGGTGTGGTCCAGTCTTTGCTGGGAGGGGTGAGGGGCGGTGAAGAAGTAATGGTTACTCTCTCACTACCTGTGTGTTGAGAGCTGGACAGGGAAAGGCTGGGAAACTCACCGTCCAGTGAGCAGAATGTTTTTCGGTCCTCCTGTTTTTAGCATGGCCTTTCATCTCCACCTCCAGCTGTGTCTGGTGTCTGTCTCCAAGTCCAAATCCTCGGTTCAACCATTCCAGGAAACCATAACTGACCAAACACCCGTGATCTCCCGAGAGAAGGAAAGGCAGCTGCCTGGCCACAGGCCTGGGGAGGGGAATCAGGTCATCCTGCTCCTTTGCCAGACTTTCACTCACTCCCCCTGGATTTCACCCTGTGGCACGGTTGAGCCTTTGAAGATGTGTGGTGCCTTCATGTGCTGAGCTTTTCTGGGTGCCTGTAGCTTTATTCCATTTTCTTCTTCTTGGTTTCTCATTCTGTACACATTTAGATCTCATTTTTCTCTCATCTGCTTTATATCTTCTTTAATTTTTTTTTTTTTTTTTTTTTTGAGATGGAGTCTCGCTTTGTTGCTCAGGCTGGAGTGCAGTGGCGCTATCTCAGTTCACTGCAAGCTCCGCCTCCTGGGTTCACGCCATTCTCCTGCCTCAGCCTCCCGAGTAGCTGGAACTACAGGCGCCCACCACCTCGCCCGGCTAGTTTTTTGTATTTTTTTTAGTAGAGATGGGGTTTCACAGGGTTAGCCAGGATGGTCTCGATCTTCTGACGTCATGATCCGCCCACCTTGGCCTCCCAAAGTGCTGGGATTACAGGCTTGAGCCACCGCACCCGGCCTATATCTTCTTTAATTTTGCTGATGTCTGTCAGCTGCATCGTTTCTTCTCCCAATCTGTTTGTCTTTACAGGTTTACATGTTTTATTATTTCTTGCCTGTTATTTTAGTATTGTTTCAGGAGGGAACGGAGGGCTGGGCACGGTGGCTCACACCTGTAATCCCAGCAATTTGGGAAGCCGAGGTGGGCGGATCACTTGAGGTCAGGAGTTTGAGACCAGCCTGGCCAACATGGTGACACCCCACCTCTACTATAATACAAAAACTAGCCAGGCATGGTGGTGCGCACCTGTAGTCCCAGCTACTCAGGAAGCTGAGGCAGGAGAATTGCTTGAACCCTCGAGGTGGAGGTTGCAGTGAGGGGAGATCGCGCCACTGCACTCTAGGCTGGGCGACAGAACAAGACTCTGCCTCAAAAAAAAAAAAAGAGGGAACAGAAATAAATGCGTGTGTTCACCTGCTAAATAAAACGAGAAAGAGCACATAGTTATGTCAAGTGAAGTTAGGGTGAAAATTATACCCATAATATAACTTAGTTTTGTAAGAGAAAACTTATAGCGTGTATTGACTGGAAGGAAATATAATAAAATTTCAGTGATAGTTAACTCCAGATAGTGGGAGTATGGGTGATTTTTATTTCTCTTCATACTTTCTTTGCATTTTCCTGATTTTCTAAAATGGGTACCTTTTTTTTTTTTTTTAGTATCTTAAGTTCTAGGGCACATGTGCACAAGGTGCAGGTTTGATCCATAGGTATACCTGTGCCTTGTTGGTTTGCTGCCCCATCAACTCGTCATCTACATTAGGTATTTCTCCTAATGCTATCCCTCCCCCAGCCCCCTACCCCTCGACAGGCTCCAGTGTGTGATGTTCCCTGCCCTGTGTCCAAGTGATCTCATTGTTCAATACCCACCTATGAGTGAGATCATGGCAGTGTTTGGTTTTCTGTCCTTGCAATAGTTTGCTCAGAATGGTGGTTTCCAGCTTCATCCATGTCCCTGCAAAGGACATGAACTCATCCTTTTTTATGGCTGCCTAGTATTCCATGGTGTATATGTGTAAACATGGGTACTTTTATAATCTCATGTAAACCATGTTTGTTTGTTCCAATAAACCTGTCCTTGGGATACTGAATTAATAGTAGAGGGAAAGTATTCATTCTGCAGCTTTCTTTTCTTTTTTTTTTTTTTTTTTTTTTTGAGACAGAGTCTCGCTCTGTCGCCCAGGCTGGAGTGCAGTGGCCGGATCTCGGCTCACTGCAAGCTCCGCCTCCCGGGTTTACGCCATTCTCCTGCCTCAGCCTCCCGAGTAGCTGGGACCACAGGCGCCCGCCACCTCGCCCGGCTAGTTTTTTGTATTTTTTAGTAGAGATGGGGTTTCACCGTGTTAGCCAGGATGGTCTCGATCTCCTGACCTCGTGATCCACCCGTCTCGGCCTCCCAAAGTGCTGGGATTACAGGCTTGAGCCACCACGCCCGGCCCATTCTGCAGCTTTCTTATCTATTTTTTGTGATTTACGAGTGGGAAGTACAAAATCTATAGTTTGTTTTGGCAATGACAATCTCAAGATTCTAGTTGACTATGTGCTTTCTAAAAATTCCTGTCTGGGCTCAGTGACTCACGCCTGTAATACCAGCACTTTGGAAGGCCAAGGCAGGTGGATCACCTGACGTCAGGAATTCGAGACCAGCCTGGCCAACGTGGCAAAAACTCATCTCTACTAAAAATGCAAAAATTAGCCAGTGTTGTGGCGCCTGTAATCCCAGGTACTTGGGAGGCCGAGGCAGGAGAATTGCTTAAACCCGGGAGGCAAGGGTTGCAGTGAGTCGAGATCGTGCCTCTGCACTCTAGCCTGGAGAACGGAGTGAGACTCTGTCTCAAAAAAAGAAACATAAATACATAAAAATAAAAATCCTTGAGTAAAAATCTTTACCTAGCTGCAGTTTAATGAGAAGTCTTTTTTGTTGTTTTGTTTTGTTTATTTTGGTATTGTTTTGCTATTTTTTGTTTGTTTTAAACCTAAATGATGGGATTGTTGGAGAGAAGCAGAAGGCTGTTTCTCAGAGCAGATTGAGAAACAGTCAAATAAAGTAGCTAAGTTCAGAGGCTCTGGTGTCAGACAGTCCTGAGTTTGAACCCCTTTCTGCCATTTACTGTTTGTGTGACCATGGCAAGCGTGTTAGTCCAGGTCTTCTGAGAAATGGATGCCAAGATGGAATTATTCACGCAAAGATTTTATCAGGGGAAAGATCTGCGTGAGAGAAAATGGGGACGGAACCCTCAGAACCAGTGCAAGGCCGACCCCCAGTGAAGGAGAGGCTAGAAGACACGGCTGTGTTTGGTAAGGTCATCAGGAGTCCTTGAGCCAAAGTCAACCATCAGAGATGCCCTGGCTCCCCAGGAAAGGCCCGTCCCATGCGATTCCTGCCACACTTAATAATGGGATGGGAGCAGTCTGTGGGCAGTGTGGCCTCGGCACACACAGAAGGTGTCAGAGCCTGGAAGCCGGGACCCTTGCTGATTTACGCCCCCTGTAGGTGGAGATCGGTGAGGCACATTCTCACATCCAGCACATGAGCTTACCTTAGCTGTCCACACCGCGTTTTCTCATCGGTAAAGCAGGAATCAGGCTGTTGTGAGGGTAAGAATGTGTAATTAAAGTGTCCAAAGTAGAAAGGATTCTTCTTTCTCCTCTTGCTGTCTTTCTCTTCTTCACTTTTTCTCAGCAGCAACTATTTTAGATTCAAGACTGATAAGCCAGAAAATCGTCCTCCAATCTATTAAAACAAATCTGTCTTTTAAAACGTGTTATTGAACATGTGTGAGGTGGACCAGCACCACGGGCATCCCTTGGGAACTCGATAGAGATGCACGTTTCAGGGCCCCTCCCAGACTTGCTGAGTCAGAGTCTCTGGGGTGCAGTCGAGGAATTCGGTTTTCTTACGTGCAGGTGATCCTTGTGCACGCTACGGTTTGAGAGGCTCTGCCCTAAACACAAATCATTCTTATATCTTCTAGGGAGGAAAAAGGAAGAAAACAGATAATATCACTTCAAAAACAGCTAATTAATGTCAAAAAAGAATGGCAATTTGAAGTCCAGGTAAGAATTACCTGCTTAACACCACAAGTAACTGAGCTAACACAGCTATTAAATATATGGAAGCCATCTTAAGCAGAGAAGAGTTACGCATAAAAGATCGTTGTTTCTTCTGGCGTTCCTTTACTATTGAAAATATAGCCGGGCGCAGTGGCTCACGCCTGTAGTCCCAGCACTTTAGGAGGCTGAGGCGGGTGGCTCTCCTGAGGTCAGGAGTTTGAGACCAGCCTGGCTAACGTGGTGAAACTCCATCTCTACTAAAAATACAAAAATTAGCCGGGTGTGGTGGCACGCACCTGTAATCCCAGCTACTTGGGAGGCTGAGGCAGGAGAATCGCTTGAACCCTGGAGGTTTCAGTGAGCTGAGATTGCGCCACTGCACTCCAGCCTGGGCGACAGAACAAGATTCCGTCTCGGAAAAAAAAAAAAAAAAACAGAAAATATAAAGAGAGCAACTAGAGAGCTGGCCTGGGTTGTACAGGTGTGACTGGAGTATAGAGCCCTAGGAGACCCCATCCCCTGGAGCTCTTAGTTCTCATCCTCGTATCCCACCCCACAAACACCCCCACCCTCCCCCACAGGGGCCTTGCCTCAGACGGCCTCTTGTGTTCTCGCATCCCAGATGGAAAAGTACATTCCTGAAGAAGACATTAAGCACATTATGAACCTTCTTAGACATGGTGGTTGGGCTTTATCATGTTCTTTATATTGTATTTTGAGGATAAAGTGGATTTGTGAGCTTTTGTGGTCATTAGGACCTAACCTTATATCTAGTTTACTTTTATAAGAAAACGCATCCCGAGTTTTGAGGAATGGACTTGCAAAACGAAGTTGGCGCTATAACCTAAGCAGTTAGAAACAAGCCGTATTAGGATGACTGATAACTTTTCTATGAGCAGTTTAGAAAGTTACAGAGGATGGCCCGGCACGGTGGCTCACGCCTGTAATCCCAGCACTTTGGGAAGCCAAGACAGGTGGATCACGAAGTCAAGAGATGGAGACCATCCTGGCCAACATGGTGGAACCCCGTCTCTACTAAAAATACAAAAATTAGCTGGGTGTGGTGGCGGGTGCCTATAGTCCCAGCTACTCAGAAGGCTGAGGCAGGAAAGTTGCTTGAACCCGGGAGGCTGAGGTTGCAGTGAGCCGAGATCGCGCCACGGCACTCCAGCCTGGGTGACAGTGTGAGACTCCTTCTCAAAAAAAAAAAAAGAAAAAGAAAAAGAAAAAAGAAGGTTACAGAAGATGGCCTGTTATCAGCTTTTCATTGACTAGCTGTTTGGACAAGTTTATGCTTCACAGAAGGGAATTTTCATTATTCCCTACAAAGATGTTGGAAAACTATTTTATTTATATTTTTTATTTTTATTTTTATTTTTTGATGGAGATGGAGTCTCACCCTGTCCACTCCATCACCCAGGCTGGAGTGCAGTGGCGCGATCTCGGCTCACTGCAACCTCTGCCTCCTGGGTTTAAGCGATTCTCCTGCCTCAGCCTCCCGAGGAGCTGGGACTACAGGCGTGCACCACCGTGCCCACCTAATTTTTAAAATATTTTTAGTAGAGACAGGGTTTCGCCATGTTGACCAGGCTGGTCTCAAACTCCTGACCTCAGGTGATCTGCCCACATCAGCCTCCCAAACTGTTGAGATGACAGGCGTGAGCCACCATAGCCAGCCTACTTATTTATTTTAGACACAGACTCTCACGCCATCACTCAGGCTGGAGTGCAACGGCACGATTATAGTTCATTGCAATCCTGGGCTCAAGCGATTCTCGCACCTCAGCCTCCCGAGTAGCGGGGACTACAGGGCACTCCGCCACGCCCGGCTGCGGTTTAATTGTTTGTAGAGGTGGGCGGAGGTGGGGTCTTGCTTTGTTGCCCAGGCTGGTCTCCGTCTCCGGGCCTCAGGTGTTTCTCCCTCCTTGACCTCTCAAAGCACTGGGATTGCAGGCGTGAGCTGCCATGCCCAGCTGAGAGAATATTTTTATTTTATTTTATTTTATTTTTACTGGTTTTTGTTTTGTTTTGTTTTTGAGACACGGTGTTACTTTGTCACCCAGGCTGGAATGCAGTGGAGTGATCTCAGCTCACTGCAACCTCCACCCCCCAGGCTCAAATGATTCTTCTGCCTCAGCCCCCAGGTAGCTGGGACTACAGGCACCCGCCACCACACCCAGATAGTTTCTTAAATTTTTGGTAGAGACAGGGTTCCACTACGTTGTCCAGGCTGATCTTGAATTCCTGAGCTCAAGTGATCTGTCCGCCTTGGCCCACTGCCATAGCGCTAGGATGATAGGTGTGAACCACTGCACCGGCCTGAGAATATTGTAAGTATATGTGGAATAATTGTTTTTAAAAGGTCACTAGGAGGTAGAAGGACCACTTGAGGCTTGGAGTGTGAGACCAGCTTGGGCAACATAGCAAGACTCCGTCTCTATAAATAAATAAATTATAAAAATAACCGGAAAAGTGACAAAATTATCTGGATGTGGTAGTATACATCTGTAGTCCTAACTGCTTCACAGGCTAAGGTGGGAGGACTGCATGAGCCTAAGAGGTCGAGGCTGCAGTGAGCTATGGTCTCCCCACTGCACTGCAGCCTGGGCGACAGAGTGAGACCATCTCAAAAACAAAGTCACTAGACTTCCTTTGAAGATATTATCTTTAAGTCTTCCAAGCAAATTGCATACACCTTCTCTTATTTTGTATTTGCCAATCACAAAGCACCTTAGGTAGCTCTAGGTCTTGATGTCATTATCCCTATTAACCCTCTGCGTGTAGCTTACATTTTTTGAAAACCACTTTTCTTCTCTGAGAAGCTGCATGAAAACTAGTTTGTGTTTAAGTTTTCTCTGTAACAAATAGACTTTTTCAGAGGTTTCCTAGCTCTTTCCCCTGAAAAACTCTTATAATTTAAAAAGACTAATATAAATATCTTCTATTTTAAAAGTCATGAAGCTTTTGAGATTATCTTATAGTAGATAAACATCTTACATATGTTTTAAAATAGAAGATATCTATTTATTTATTTATTTTTATTTTTGAGACGGAGTCTGGCTCTGTCGCCCAGGCTGGAGTGCAGCAGCTCGATCTCGGCTCACTGCAACCTCCGCCTCTCAAGTTCAAGTGATTCTCCTGCTTCAGCCTCCCAAATAGCTGGGATTACAGGTGTGAGCCACCACACCTGGTTAATTTATGTGTTTTTAGTAGAGATGGGGTTTCACATATTGGCCAGGCTGGTCTCGAACTTCTGACCTCAGGTGATCCACCCACCTTGGCCTCCCAAAGTGCTAGGATTACAGGCGTGAGCCACCATGCCCGGCCAGAAGTTATTTATGTTAGTCTCCTTTTAAGCCCTCCAAAACAATGTCAGAAGAAACCTCAGATTTAGCACTTTGCCAGTTAACTCCTGTCCTGCCATGAGGACCACACCTGTTGATGGTAGAATTTTCAGCCCTTGCTCCTGAGACTTACCTTCTGAATTGTATTCTCAGCCAAAGTAAAACCAAAGCGGAATATCACTCAGATATTGGGATCATCAGCAAAAGAATAGGTTAAGAAACCAAGATTCTGCTTCGTAGTGGGTCTTAAAAAAACAGAAAAGAAAGAAACCAAGACTAGAAGATCCAAGGTAAGCCTTGGAACAAAAAAGAGCTACCAAGAGGAAATCGAGTTAAATCCCTAGAGCTACTGAAAACCAGTCATCAGGTCAAGGTTGGAAAACAAGAAGATAGGAAGTATATGCACATTAGGGACCTGTGGGTCAGAAAATGATGCCAACAGGAATGGCAGGTTTCTGTATATGGAAGTGTTGGTGGTAGCTTAGATGTGTAGGATTAATTGCCTTAGATACTCGGCAAAAAGAAAGAGTCGCAAAGGAAAAAAAGTTTCAGACTTCTGAACATCAACATCCAAAGCAAGATAACAATGGATCAGCATTTTCATGAAACTACTGGGAAAAAAAAGAACCAAGATTCGTATATAAAAATCTATCTTTTATATATCAGCAACAGACTTAGAATAGAAAATTGAAAATTCATATATATTATTATAATAGCATTAAAACTATCAATACCTAGCATTGAATCTAACAGCAGCAACAAAAATAATAGTAAAACACACACCACCAGGCCCAGCTAATGTCTGTGTTTTTAGTAAAGAAGGGGTTTTGCCATGTTGCCCAGGCTGGTCTCAAACTCCTGACCTCAGGTAATCCGGTTGCCTCAGTCTCTGAAACTGCTGGGATTACAGGCGTGAGCCTCCACGCCTGGCTTTTTTTTCTTTTTTTAAATTGAGATGGGGGTCTCTCTTTGTTGCCCAGGCTGGTCTTGAACTCCTGGCCTCAAGCAGTCCTCCTACCTCAGCTTCCCAAGTAACTAGGATTATTGGAGCTCAGAGTTTATTCTGAGTCTATGGACTCGTATAGTATCAGCCGGTATTCTAAGTCATAGACAGACAAATAGAAATACTATTTTGTTTTATGTTTTTGAGATGTGGTCTCGCCCTGTCCCCCAGGCTGGAGTGCAGTGGCACGATCTCAGCTCACTGCAACATCTGCTTCCCAGGTTCAAGTAATTCTCCTACCTCACCCTCCCAAGTAGCTGGGATTACAGGTGCACGCCACCACACCTGGATAATTTTTGTACTTTTTTTTTTTTTAGTAGAGATGGAATTTCACCATGTTAGCCAGGCTGGTCTTGAACTCCTGACCTCAGGTGATCCACCCGCCTCAGCCTCCCAAAGTGCTGGGATTACAGGCGTGAGCCACCGTGCCTGGTCATAATGTTAATTTAATAGAGAACTATTTTTTCCTGTGGCTTTGGTCTCTCTAATAGACAACATCCCCATTTTCCTTCTGCTGTCCAACCAGAGTGGCAACCTGAGGTCTAAGACAAGTGCCAGTTTCCCAGATAGTAGCTTCCAGACTTCCAGGAGCCAGTACTCCGTTCTGTACTTTGTGTACAGTTACGAAAGCAGACACTGCCATTAAAAGCCCTTGG